AAAAAAAAAAAAAAAAAAAAAAAATGAATAGATCATTTCCTATTCTTACAAATGGCCACAAAAGGAAACACATATGCCATGTGAGCACGTTCTCCGGGTCAGCGCAGGAGGCAGCCTGCAAGTCTGGGTGACTCTTCCTACTTTCTTTCCATCAAATTCCTTTACCTTCTTTAGAATGGACACTGTCAATCCTGAGGAACTTCAATGTGCGCTACCCAGAATATCAACTAGCTCAGCCAGAAGCGGTTCCTGACACATGTGTCCTACAGGAAGTTCTGATTTGCTCAGGCAGAGACGATTTCCCAGCATCCCCTGGTGGCCACAAGGCCTTGGGGGAGTCAGCACAACTTGCAGGGATCCCCAGAGTCAGGGTGGTTGGAAACAGGGGCTTGAGGGGCTCAACAGTGAGGGGCTGGCCAGGAGCTAAGGAACTGGACAGGGAGGAAGGGTTTGAAGCTTACCTGTTGGAAGGTTTTGGGGTGGAGGAGTCTGTGGAGGGAGCTTCAGAGAACAGGGAGAGCATTAGAAGGCTGGGGTTCCTGGCAATCTAATCTTTATTGTGTAAAGCGTTTCCCACCCTATCCCAGCCTAGCTTCTGCCTGGCAATCTCAGAACCCTGCAGGGAAGCTCCCCAGGGGCCCCTGCCCTGTCCTCTCTCTGTCACAGCGCCCGACGCCCCCAACCTGGAAGTGTGCCTGCCATTGCCTTCCCTGCCTGATTTCTGGCAGTCCCGTCACATGGCTCCAAAAACAGCATCGGGGATTTTCTAGAACATGAATTTACAAACAAGGGGTGATGTCCTCTGAGAGGGTAGGTTTGTGTTCAGCATGATGGAAGCCAGGGCTTCCTGGATTGGGAACATCTCTCAATCTGCTCCCTACTCCCCTGGGTCTGGCTTGCTGGGCCTCACCCTCTTCACACCCTGATGTCCCTGAGAATTAGATGCTGCCCTCCATGTCACCACTGCTCACTGGGACCGCCCAGCCCAGGCACACCTTGAATCCTCACCAGGTTCCCCAGCCTGTGGACCCAGCAGCTGCTGTGTGTCCCATGGAGCCGGCCCACAGTGCTGGCAGAAGATGGAATGGTCGTCCTCCTGGGCTGGCCCCAGGTCACCCAAGCAGGCTTTTTCCTCTCCTTACCTGCCTGGTGGCATCCACCCAATGTGGGGCAGCCCACAGTGCTGCTGGAGCTGAGTGAGAAATGAATCCCTTCCCAGCCCTAGGCGCTCCCCTAGCAGCCTTCCCGCATTGCCGCTAGTAGACTTGGGCCTTCCCAGAGACTGCTGCAGGCCTGTCCTCAGCATGAGGCCATTGCTAAGGTGAAGGAGACCCTCCCTGGCTCATCTGGCCTGCTCCAGCACTGCACTTGGTGAGGCTGGTTGTGCTTCTTCCCCTCCTCCCCAAGGCCTCTCCAGCTGGGTCCACACAGGGGCAGTTTCCCCAGGAAGTTGTAACTCATTCCATTACCTTCTCCCACTTGATCTTGGAAATCCCCTTGCTGTGAATATTAGTAAGCTTGAGAGCTTATCGCTCCCACCACGGCATCCAGCTCGTGATCAGTGTGTTCTGAGGGCTTTGTCTTCCAAGCCTTAGACAACCCTGAATACTGATTAGTCTTTGGTTGGCTCCAAGACGCCATGTCACACAAGCACCAACCTGTGGACACTGAAGTTCCCATGACGTCTTTTCTTTCAGGCCAAGCACTGGCTCCCTTTACATTTTTTCTAATGCTAATGCCTGTGCATAACTTTCTAACTGGCACAATTTCCCCAAGGACAATTTAGAATTACAGTGATTTCTTTGGGGAAACTCTGAGTGAGACAAAACAAAAACAAAGCAAAATTCTGAATGTCCAATGCTCTACTGTCTTCAACTGGTATGATTTGAACTCAAAAAATGCCTCTAAAATATTCTTAAGCTATCACTAATATGAAATCGGAGCATCTTTTTTCTCAGGAGCATCTGTTTTTTGTTTTTTATTGTTTTTTGTGTTTTGTTGGTTTTTTTTTTTTTAGATGGAGTCTCACTCTGTCGCCCAGGCTAGAGTGCAGTGGTCTGATCTAGGCTCACTGCAACCTCTGCCTCCCGGGTTCAAGCGATTTTCTCCTGCCTCAGCCTCCTGAGTAGCTGGGATTACAGGCATGAGCAACCATGCCCAGCTAATTTCTGTATTTTTAGTAGAGACGGGGTTTCACCATGTTGGCCAGGCTGGTCTCAAACTCCTGACCTCAAGTGATCTGCCCACCTCAGCCTCACAAAATGCTGAGATTACAGGCCTAAGCCACTGCCCCCAAGCACTCATCTTCAGATGCTGACATTTCTACATTTTATGGAAGCCTTCAAGTCCGAAACTGTCTCTATGTCAGGTAAACAAAAATGTTGGCTGGCAAATCACTCTATTGTACAAACATCAACATTTGGCTAAACATCTTAAGGAGACTGTGGATACCAAGAGTAAAAGAACCCTCATGAGGAAAATCTTTGTCTGGTTTGCCTAAATGACAGATTATTTTGTTTCACAAGGGAGGCATCATTCCTTTCCATACATTGGAGATTAATACATTCTGGCTTTTAAAAAGTCATATGGCTTGATAGAATTGTCACAAACTGAAATTATACTGAAACTAGATATAGGACACTCTCGTGTATGTATTGTATAAATGTTTAAAATTTCATCCCTCTTTTTGCAGAGAAAAATGATTATTTGTCTAAAGCCAGCTCCTTCTCATTTTTTTCTATCCCACTTCCTCTCTTTTTTCCTCTTTTGAAAACTTGAAAGACAACAAAAATTACATTCAGCTGTTTTCCATATATTCTAGGAATTTTTAGTTCAGATAAAGTCTAAATTGTCTAAAGAAAAGAGTTATTGAACTATGTTTCTTTTTATGGACACTAGAAAGTGTATTTCCCTAATAACTTTTTAAACTCTCTATGACATAAAAAAAGACATCAACTTCAAAAGAAAGGAAAACCTTAGCATGATTCACTCTTTAATTATTAATTTATCATTTTTATAAATGTTAGTACAACATTTTGGCTTGTTCAAGACCAAAATTAGATTTCTTATAATTCAGACTTCCTAAATTTCCTATATTCATTTTATTTATTTATTTATTTATTTATTTATTTATTTTTTGAGATGGAGCCTCCCTCTGTCGCCCAGGCTGGAGTGCAGTGGCACAATATCAGCTCACTGCAACCTCCGCCTCTCAGGTTCAAGCAATTCTCCTGCCTCAGCCTCCCGAGTACCTAGGATTACAGGCATGTAATGCCACCATGCCCAGCTACATTTAT